CCCGTTGCCACATCTGATGGAAGGAAAACGCCTGGCAAGGCCTTGGGAAGCCGAGGGGAGCCCCCTCCTCGCTCTTGTCTCCGAGGGGAAACCGATTTCAGGGCGGGGAAGCCCTGCTTTGCAGGCGGGAGAGGGGATCCCCCAAAAAGGAGGGCCCCGGGTGGGCTGCCAGGCCCCAAAGCGGCTCCCATCTCCTCACGCAGTGCGGTTACCGCACCTTTCCCCCTCCTGCCGAAGACGCCAATACAAAATAACAGCATTTATGGATCGGGGGACGCTTCAGGATGGCGAGAGGGAGATTTCTGGTTGCCACACTTGGTGTGTCCCCTTCCATCAGAAGGGGAGCTCGGTGGAGACGCACGGGCATGAACTCGGCAGGAGGAGCCGGGCAGTCTGGGTGGGTTGGAGCACAGTCCTTCCCCTCTGGGGATAATGACTAAACCTGTGTCCGGGATCGCAGGTTGGAGGAGGTTAGTGGTCTCATTGTAGTTCTCCCTGAATATATTTGTTCCCATCGTAAAACCGTGAGACAATTCAAGGAAACGGGACATCGCTGTTCAGGAGACGGTTGGGGTTGGTGCGGGTCAGGGGAGAAGCTGGCTCGCAGGATTCTGCTCGTGTTACAGCTGGCTCCGGGTACTGCTACCGGTCATTTAAAACCCAAATTCTTGAGGAATCCTGCCTTACTAAAGCATAACAAAACACAGTAAACTTGGAACAAAATCCAGTTTATAAGGTATTGCTTTTCAAGTGAAAGGAAGGTCAGGCCGAGCGCTGCAAACTTACGGCCCAGCCCTTTCTCCCATGGAGTCAGTAGCGAAATTCCCGCTGACCTCAATAGGAGACGGATCGAGGTTTAAATACGGAAGAACGGGGACTGCAGTGAAACACCAAGTAAGCTGCGTTAAAAGCAACTTGGTTAGAAATGCTGCAAGTTCAAATGCTTTGAATACCATCTGGTAGCTGGGAAGCCAAGTCTTCCTGCAGCTAGCTGCGATGCTGGCTTAGCTGTTAACCTTGAGCTAGGAGAGCTAGGCAGAATTAAATGCTGGGTGAAAAAAATAAAGGATCGGCACACATCTGATGCTATCAGCAGGAGCTGAAAGAATACTTCCCTCTTTTCTTCTTTAGAAGAAAACGGCAATGATGGAAACCTAATGTTTCCGTGTGCGTTCATTAATCCTAATGATTAGGTGCTGACAGCTGTAAAGAACGAGAAGAAAGCTCTTGGTTAAAATAAAACGGGAAGAACAAGATTGTTCCTGCTGCCTTCTCTCCTGCCTGCCTTCCTTCCAGGTCTGGGCAGACGACTCTCCGAAGCAGGAGGTGGCTTCCTCTCCATTCCCAGCTCCATCCCAGCTGTCTCTGTCTACAGCGTAAGCGTACGAGTCAACGAACCCAGCAAAGAGCTCCTACAGCTGGCACGCCTGTGTCAACAAAACTGTATTTTCTATCAACCAGATCAAGCCACTTAGTGCAAGCAAAACAAGCCAGCCAAGTAAAATTACACTTTTTTTATTACACGCGTGTTAATGCCTTAAATCGTAGTGTTCCTGCTAGACTGGTCAGGTACCCAATTGATACAGCTGCACCAGCAGAGATTTGCCCAGGCTGCAAAGGGACGACCGCCCTTCTGGCAGTCCCCTGAGGACATCCCCAGTGAGAGGGGACTCGTGGCAGTGGATCTATGGCCCTTTTTTCATATTAGCAACAGGAGGTCACTGCTATTTGTCCTGTGATTTTAAACCCAGGAGCTAGTGTAGAAAGGTTTCCACCCCAGCGCTGCCCCATCCCTCTTTCGAGCAGGCTGTACCACGCCTTGGATGTTGACCCGAGCCACTCTATCAAATCATTCCCAGCCACAACATTTCAGCTGTGTTGGCAGAGCCAGAGTTCAAGGCCATTATTTGCAGTATGAGTTCGACATCAGAAGCCGATAGCCGTGGCACCTCCCTGGTAGCTGCGCCGGCAGCAGGGTAGTCCACGCAGAGAAAGCAGATGGCGGCAGCGGATCCAGCGAGTGGGAGTAGAGGGGCTGTTGCATGGCAAGGAGCAGGAGGATAACGAGCGGTGCTGCAGTGCGATGTCTGGTATGCAAGAGATTCGCCCGGCAAAGACAAGGCAGGCACAGCCTCCCCCAGCTCTGCCCGGCCACGGCTGCCCTCCCAACCAACCTAGCGAAGAGCGGCTGCCAGGAAGCCACAGGAGGGCCTGTCCCCCAGCCATAACGTGAATATCGCCCACACAGCGACTACCGCCACGTGGGGCTGAGCACACCACTAATTAGCTAATGAGTTTGTTCCAAATGTCTGGCCACGGTGTGAGTGACAACAGGAACAGCACTGAACAATGACAAGTACATTCGTCTCCTCTTGCTGACCCCAGCCCCGCATTAACAAATAGGTCACAAACAACAGTGCTTTACAGTGATCTAATCCTCCAGCCATATGTCGGCTGACTGAAAAAATACAGCAAAAAAAAAGCTGCACAGAGAACACCAAAAAGGTCTGCAAAAATTCTAAGGAAAACTTGATAAATATGTCCCTGCAGTTTGAAATTTGATTTCCTCACTCTATTGTTTCTCATTTCCTGAGAGCTGGCTTGGTGGATCACATTTTC